TTCTTCTTCTTCTTCTTCTTCTTCTTCTTCTTCTTCTTCTTCTTCTTCTTCTTCTTCTTCTTCTTCTCCTGCCCTGCCCTGCCCTGCCCTGCCCTGCTGTGTGGAGACAGCGCGTGACTGGCAATAGAGGTTTATATCGCCATTTTGATGGGTTTCAATCCCTTGTTCTTTTCAGTAATTTTAATTATATATCAGTGTGTTTTTAAATGACTAAAACGTTGCTGATTGCCCAGAGCCTGTTCTGTAGGGTGGGCAATTCATAAGTTCAATTAATTAATCAATAATCTCCAGTTTAAAAGGATCAAGTAGTCTGTGGTGTGAAAAGACCTCCGCCTGAGATCCTGGAGAGCCGCTGCCAGCCAGAGTAGACAATACTGACCTAGATGGGCCAGTGGTCTGACTCAGCGTAAGGCAGCTTCAAGTGTGCACAGACCTGGTGGTTCATCCTCAGATGCTGGTTGCGCAAAGAGATGAGTATACACAGCCTTCCAGCATGTATTATATATTTTATAAGCCAATTACTTTTCCACGAAAGAAACGAGTTCTCAAGGAAGCACCGTACAGTGTTGAAAAGCCCCCTCCCTGGTCTATGATGTTCTTTAGGAGGGCTGGTAGAATCTCTCTTTTTGAAAGGTTAGTTTTGGAGGACTGTTTTACTGGTGGTGGGTGTCTCTCAAGGGTAATACTGTACATACCCTAACCTGGAGAGCCCAATCTTGTCAGATCTGGGAAGTTAAGCAGTCAGTACTCGGAGGGAGACCCCTAAAGAAGTCCAGGGTTGCTGTGCAGAGGCAGGCAATGGCAAATCACCACTCTGAGCATCTCTCACCTTGGGAACCTTATGGGGTTGCCTTAAGTCGGCTGCGACTTGACGGCATCTTCCATTGTGGCCCAGGCCAGCCTGATCGTATCAGATCTCGGAAGCTAAGCAGGGTCGGCCCCGGTTGGGACTCAGATGGGAGACCACCAAGGAAGGCCAGGGCTGCTACACAGAGGCAGGCAGTGGCAAAACTACTTCTCTTCGTCTTCTGCCTTGAGAACCCTTCAGGGTTACCTTATGTCTGTTTTGACGTGGTGGTACCCAGTTATTGTCATGACCTGGACGGACCCAGCTAGGCCGGTCGCATCACAAGCTGGGAAGCTAAGCAAGATTGACCCTATTTAGTTCCTGCACGAGAGGCCAGCGAGGACGTTAAGGGTTGCTATGGAGAGGCAGGCCATGGCAAACCATCTCTGTTCACTCTAGGTGTTCTGGTTGATCACAAGCTAAACATGAGCCTGCAGTGCGATGCGGCTGTGAAGAAAGCGAATGCAGTCTTAGGATGCATGAACAGAAGCCTTGTGTCCAGATTGCGGGAGGTGGTCATTCCGCTCTATTCTGCCATGGTCAGGCCTCACCTGGAGTACTGCGTCCAGTTTTGGGTGCCACATTTTAGGCAGGATGTTGACAAGCTCGAGCGTGTCCAGAAGAGGGCAACCAGGATGGTGAGAGGGCTGGAATCCAAGTCTTAGGAGGAAAGGTTGAAAGAGCTGGGTCTGTTTAGCCTGGGAAAGAGAAGGCTTAGAGGGGACAGGATTGCAGTCTTCCAGTATCTGAAGGGCTGTCATGTAGAAGATGGAGCGGATCTCTTCTCTTTTGCTCCGGGTGGCAAGACTAGATCGAATGGGTG